TGGCAAACCATTGAGAGTAACTTTAAACATCAGTCATGATGGGAACCTGATGCTTATCGACTATAATGGCACCTTCATCACCATAAATGTCGAAGAACAACCTGTTCCGAGCAGTGACACAAGTGCAACTCTACTTGATTCGGGTAATTTAGTTTTGAGAGCAGGAAAACACGTCGTGTGGCAAAGTTTTGATCACCATCTGATACGTGGCTTTTGGTGAAAATACCAGAAAAAATTATATTTTATTGATAAATGATGCAAAGAAAATGAGATACAAATAGATCAGGCAGAGGCACGGATATCTCGTTTTCTTTAAGGAGATCAAGCCCACTGCGATAGGAAGAACCCAAATACCGATGCAGCAGCCACAAAACTATGACTTGTCCCCTCCAGGATACAACAGCCTGACCACTTGTCGTATGGTTCAGGCCAACTCTGCACAAGATGGTGAACCCAAAGCTCCACCAATAAAACACCCTTCTTTGCTAGTAATCTCTCTTGTATAGAAAATAGTTGATGTGTTAGTGGTGTAGAAAAGAGTAGATGAGAGGGACTATTTATAAGCCACTAGGACCTTACAGTTACACCAAAAAATAATGACCATTAAATAAGAGAAAATGGTTACACCAAAATAATGATCATTAACCAGGTTCATGAATTCTATTTAACCTCCATTTATGACCAAGAGGTTACCAAAGTAATGAAACCTCATTTATGAAAAAGATAAACCAATAAATAAATATAAGATATTAAAATGGTCCAACAATCCCCCACTCATTTTAATATCAAAAAATAAAAATAAGAGAGATTACCAAACAATGGTAGACTAGTATGCATCATGAAGGTGTGCTCTGCATTGAACCTTCATTAATGAAATAGCAACCTCTACTCCAGAGTCAGTAGTGGTCTCAGACTTGAACTATGACTGCTTAGAGGAAATAAAGTATTACTGCTCACACATAATAGTCTAGGTGTTGACATGAACTTTAATAGCCAGCACATTACGGCCTTGTGCTAATCCCAGTTTTCATGAGCATATTTGAGAATAAGCCTTGTTCTCATAGAAAGCTGCCCCACTTTCATGCTCACATAGGTGAAATCTATCAAGGATGTTCCTGTAATTTACACACCACACTCAACAAGAGCTACAGAATTTCATTAAGAGTATAAAAACTCAACCCTCCAACATTACAGGACAAATGCACTTACATCATAGGGATGGATAACAAAATATTAAAAAGTGCATTTTTTACAACCACCATATGATTCATTCTTCCCATTGAACCTAGTTACAGGATCTCTAGTCCCTAGGTTGGGTATCCTCATACATGGTTTATGATTTTATAGGCTTCAAACCCATCCCCCTCGATATATTCCAGACCCTATCTCTCGCCAAGGCCTTGGTTAACGGATCTGCAAGATTATCACAAGATTTTACATAATTCACAGTTATGATGCCATTACTCAAATAGGATCTCACATTACTGTGTTTCCTTCGAATAGGTCTGGAGTTACCATTACAAAAATGATTGTTCACTCTACCAATAGCAACAATGCTATCACAACGAATTAACACATGAGGAATTGATTTTTCCCAAAAATGAATTTCATGTAACAAATCTCTCAGCAAATTCGCTTCCTCACATGCTGAAGCTAACGCTATAAGCTCAGCTTCCATTGTAGAATTAGCAATTATCGTCTATTTTTTAGACTTCCAACTTATAGCACCACCACCCAAGGTAAAAATAAAACCCGAGGTAGAGAGAGAATCACCTGACAAAGTGTTCCAATCGGCATCACTATATCCCTCAAGTACCGCAGGATACTTGTTATAAAACAAACCATAACTTTTTGTTCTAGATAAATATCTCATAATTCTTTCCATGACTAGCCAATGATCTTGACATGGTTTGCTAGTAAACCTGCTAAGTACTCCAACAACATATGCAATGTTAGGTCTAGTACAGTCAGTAGCATATCTCAAACTACCAATCATGCTAGCATATTCCTTTTGATTAATTACTTCCTTTTCATTTGTTACAATAGAAAAATGTATGCTTGCATCAAAAGGAGTAGCAACATATTTACAGTCTAGAAAATTATAGTTCTTTAAAAAATTTTCAACATAATGTGACTGATCAAGAAAAATACCATCATTAGTCTTGGTAATTTTAATTCCCAAAATAAAATTGGCTTCACCAAGATCTTTCGTATCAAAGTGGCTATTGAGCATATTTTTAGTTTCATTTATAATATGCAAATTAGAGTCAAAGATAAGTAGATCATCCACATATAGGCTAATAATCACATGTGCATTCTCACAAGTTTTATAATATATGCACTTATCGCATTCATACGTCTTATAGCCATTCTTAAGCATGCAAGAATCAAATTTTCCATGCCACTGTTTAGGAGCTTGTTTTAAACCATAAAGGGATTTAGTTAGCTTACACACCTTGCTTTCTTGGCCAGGCTCCACAAAGCCTTTGGGTTGGTCCATGTAAATCTGCTCATCTAGATCTCCTTTTAAAAATGCTGTTTTTACATCCATTTGAAGAATTTTTAAACCATGAATTGCAGCCACTGCAATCAACAGTCTAATGGATGTAACTCTAGTAACCGGAGAAAAAGTATCAAAGAAATCAAGATCAACTTGTTGCTTAAAATCTTTAGCGACAACCCTCGCTTTATATTTATCTATAGTTCCATCCGGTTTAAGTTTTTTACGGAGGACCCATTTACACCCAATAGTTTTACAGCCTGGAGGTAAATCCACTAGCTTTCATGTTTTATTTGAAAGTAGTGAGTCTATCTCATCATTTACAGTCTCTCTCTAGAAAATAGCATCAGGTGATGATAAAGCTTCTTGCACCGTAAGAGGAATTTCTTCCGCATTGTAAAGATAATAGTCAGGGCCAAAATCTTTTTTAACTCTAGCTTGTTTACTTCTTCTTGGTTGAATTTGAAAATTTTCTTTTTCTTGAAAAACTTGAGAAGGAGTAGAAGAGCTAGACATAGATAAAATATTTTCAGAAATTATTTGACCCCCACTATTTCTAGATTTGAAAGGAAATTTATTTTCATGAAAAATAGCATCACGTGATTCAAAAATAATATTATTTTCCATATCAAAAAATTTATAAGTTGTACTATGTAATGCATACCCAAGAAAAGCACAAGTGGTAGCTTGTTTACCCAATTTAGGTCATTTAAGATCTGCAAGCCTCACAAAAGCTAAACAACCCCAAACCCTCAAATAACCTAGATTTGGTTTATGCCCCCCGCCACAACTCATAAGGTACAATTTTAATCTTTTTGTGTGACACTCTATTTATCACATGGCAAGCTGTCAAAATAGCCTCGCCCCAAAGATTTGAGGGAGCACCTGAATCAATAAGCATAGCATTCGTCAAGTCAATTAACGTTCTATTTTTTGTTTCAGCTACGCCATTAGATGAAGGTGAATATAGTGGAGTAGTCTCATGAATAATTCCCAATGACTGAACGAAAGAGTTGAATCCAAGAGATTCATACTCTCGGCCTCTATCACTTCTAATTCTTTTAATCTTTTTACTGAATTGATTTTCCACTTCAAGAAGGAATTCTTTAAATTTCTCAAAAACATCACTTTTATTTTTTAGTAAATATACGTTTGTGTATTTTGAAAAATCATCAATAAAAGTAATAAAATATCGGTTACCACCCCGAGTTACAATTCCTTCAAACTCACACAAATCAGTATGAAATAATTCTAGCAATTTGGTATTTTTTTTAACACTTTTATGAGGGCTCTTTGTAATTTTTGCTTTACTGCAAACTTCACATTTCTCAAAATTTTTTGTTACTTTAGGAATTAATCCTAAACTACTCATGATTCCCACATATTTACTATTTCTATGACACAAGCGAGCATGCCAAAAATTAATAGAAGACAAAGTGTAAGTGGTGTCATAGTAATAATAAAATTGATCAGCAAGGCAATTTAAGAGATAAAAGCGACATTTATACTCATCTGTATTATAGGAAGTCACTTTTGCTTCATGTGCCTCGTAGTCTTCTTCATTCATCTCCTCGGTTGGGATTTTGTTTGGATTCTTTTCGGTAAGAACATATGCAACTTTCAAAAGGCTAAGGTAAAAAAGAACTTTTCTTTTCCACCTCTTAAAATGAACTCTTTGAACTTGAAAAGCTTGTTGAGATCTCCAATTCCATCTTTGATTTTTTCTGGCACTTGTTTCATGTTTGATCTCCTTAAAATTGTTGGTGAAAATACCAAAAAAAATTATATTTTATTAATAAATGATGCAAAGAAAATGAGATACAAATAGATCAGGCTGAGGCACGGATATCTCGTTTTCTTTAAGGAGATCAAGCCCACTACGGTAGGAAGAACCCAAATACCGATGCAGCAATCGCAAAACTATGACTTGTCCCCTCCAGGATACAATAGCCCGACTACTTGTCGTATGGTTCAGGCTAACTTTGCACAAGATGGTGAACCCAAAGCTCCACCAATAAAACAATAAAACACCCTTGTTTGCTAGTAATCTCTCTTGTATAGAAAATAGTTGATGTGTTAGTGGTATAGAAAAGAGTAGATGACAGGGACTATTTATAGGCCACTAGGACCTTACAGTTACACCAAAAAATAATGACCATTAAATAAGAGAAAATGGTTATACCAAAATAAGAGTAATGCTAGAGACCCCAAATATTCTACTAAAAGTTTTATCAAATGTCTCACATGGGTGTGGGACCCACACAATGTGAGTCCCATGTGGGTCCCACACCCATGTGAGACATGTGGGTCCCACACCCATGTGAGACATGTGGTAAAACTTTTGGTAGAATTTTTGGGACCTCTAGCATTTTTGCCAAAATAATGACCATTAACTAGGTTCTTGAATTCTATTTAACCTCCATTTATGACCAAGAGGTTACAAAGTAATGAAACTCATTTATGAAAAAGGTAAACCAATAAATAAATATAAGATATTAAAATGGTCCAACAATGGCTACCAGGCATGAAATTGGGGTTGTTTAAATCGAGTAGAGGCCAGCCACAACACCTTTTTCTCATTTCACAAGTCAGTCCACAAATTCCAACTCTAGGGGCATTTACTTTAGGTGTTGATCCAAACAACACAAAGCAGCTTGGAATCTGGCAAAGCGGAGTTCTTTACTGGCGCAGTGGGATGTGGAATGGGTATAACTTTAGCTACTTTCCAAGTAGTAATAATGAATTCAATTTAAGGTATTTCTCGGATGAGAACCAAAGCTATTTCACTTTTAGCAGAACTGATAACGATTTTCCATCTTTGATTGATATGGACTCATCTGGAAACATTCGCATATTTAAAACAGAAGACGATGGTTGGTCGTTAGATGCGTATTACTGTTATGATAGCCAAGGACTAGAATACAGTAATAACTTGGGGTGTGTAGCCCCTAATCCATCCAACTGTACTGTTGGAGATGTGTTCATCAAGAAAAGCGGATCAACAAATTCATGGGCTTCAACTAACAATGTCAGCCAGGGTATCAGTGATTGCAAGGAGATATGTAGACAAGATTGTGCTTGTACTGCTTATGCTTCTGCACTATCTGATGGGTCTGGGTGCCAATTTTTTTATGGTGAATACTCTGACTCTCCGGAATATATTTTTCACATACGAAACATCTCCATGGCAAATATAGGTAATCCTTGCATTTTTTATTTATTTATTTATTTTTCAGGTTGAGATGTATTGTTAGTGATCAGAAGAGCATCATCAATAATCTTTTGCCATTGAATAATGCATTTTATGTTGTTAGAATCTATTTATTTTTGTTAGAAAGGAATATTTTAATATGTATTTCATATTTTATTTCTCTTTCTATTTAAATTTAAGGACAAATCACGACGGTAGTCCCTATACTTAACCCCTTGTATCATTTTAGGTTATGTACTTTCAATTGGCTCGATTGTGACCCTAAATTTATGATTTTTTTTTCTTAATTTGATCCAATTGATTATAACTCTTAACATTTTTTAATGAAAAATAAGCACATAAGTGTCACGTGTCATATTTTTTAGGGTAAAATTATAAAATTACTCAACTTAGTCAGTTAATCTCAACCAATTTAGTGATAATTTTTCTTAAAAAAACACTAAGGATATTATTAATTGGACCAAATTAAAGAAAAATCTAAAATTAATGGTCAAAATTGAGTCAATTGAAAGTGTAGGGACCAAAGTGGCACAAGAGTTAAATAATAGGGATCATGGGTGCAATTTTCACTAAATTTAAATATCTCATACTAAATTTGTGTAGTTCAGGGTAAATTCTTTAATGGACAAGAGATTGCTGTGAAAAGACTTTCACAACACATGTTACGATAGTTAAAGCGCAATGAATTTGACCTTCATGGACATACATGCCACATTACAATTGAAGGTTTTTGAAGACCATCATCAATAATCTTTTGCCATTGAATAATGCATTTTATGTTGTTTGAATCTATTTATTTTTGTTAGAAAGGAATATTTTAATATGTATTTCATATTTTATTTCTATTTAAATTGAAGGACAAATTACGACGGTAATCTCTATACTTAACCTCTTGTATCATTTTAGTTCATGTACTTTCAATTGGTTCGATTGTGACCATGAAATTATGGCTTTTTCTTAATTTGATCTAATTGATTAGAACTCTTAACATTTTTTTAATGAAAAATAAGCACATAAGTATCACGTGTCATATTTTTAAGGACAAAATTATAAAGTTACTCAACTTAGTCAGTTAATCTCAACGAATTTAGTGATGGTTTTCCTTAAAAAAACACTAAGGATATTATTAATTTGACCAAATTAAAACAAAATCTAAAATTAATGGTCAAAATTGAGCAAATTAAAAGTGCAGGAACCAAAATGACACAAGGGTTAAATAATAGGGATCATGGGTGTAATTTTCTCTAAATTTAAATATCTCATACTAAATATGTGTACTTCAGGGTAAATTCTTTAATGGGCCAGAGATTGCTGTGAAAAGACTTTCTAGAAGCTCTGGACAAGGATTGGAGGAGTTCAAGAATGAGGTTACATTGATCTCGAGACTTCAACATCGTAATCTTGTTAGAATTTTGGGTTGTTGTGCTCAAGGAGATGAGAGGATATTAGTATACAAATACTTACCAAACAAAAGTTTAGATACATTTCTTTTTGGTTTGTTACTTCGTTACCTTTAGCTAATCTATTGCTCTTTTGGTCTCTTTCTTCATTGCCAATGTGATGATGTCTATCTATTTATCAAGTGCAAATTTTGGAACAGATGAAATAGGACGAGTTTCGCTAGACTGGAAAATTCGTGTTAGTATCATTGAGGGAATTGCTCAGGGACTTCAATACCTTGACAAATACTCTAGAGTAAGAATCATTCACAGAGATTTGAAAGCTAGCAACATTTTACTGGGCAATAATATGAACCCAAAAATATCTGACTTTGGTACTGCAAGAATTTTTGGAGACAATGAATCTTGCGCAAACACGAACAAAATTGTTGGAACATAGTAAGTTTGGTATCTCTTTTAAATATGTATGAATGAAAAATTGTTCCACATACATGAAAATGACATTGGATTATTAGTGGAAAAAAGAACACATGTTTCTAGCAACCAGATCGTGCTCAGAACTTGCTAGGATATGTAAGTAACTGTAATTTGGTCAACTTGAGCATATTTAATTTTTATTTTTCTGGAGAAGTGACCATGTAGAATATTGTTTATGAACCATTTTAGGCATGGGATCTATGGAAAGAAGAAAGGGGCTTGGAGATAATAGATCACTTATTTGTTGAAACATGTTCAACAAGTTAGGTTATGCGCTACATTCAAGTTAGTTTCTTGTGCATGCAAGAAAATGCAGCAGATAGACCAACTATTTCTGATGTTGTGTCTATGCTTAGCAATGAAATAATAGCAATATCTGCTCCTAAGCAACCTGCTTTTTCTACAATTGTGAGTGTGAAATATGCCAATACACTTGAAATTCCAAAACTTAGCTCAGTAAATGATGTTACAATTTCAGTGGTGGAGGGTCGATGACATTTGCGCATGTACAATGACACAAAATTGCCTATTAAACAAATTTATTGTAAACCTTGACAAACAATGTTTTAATGACCAACTACTAATTGATACTATTATACGTTTCTCTTATATATATATATATGCTATATGTACGAACTAGTTTGGATTCATCAACATAGAATTCGACTCTTTTTGTTTGCCGGATAGATGAATCTATAGTTCAAAATATCATGTTCGGAATTATAAATTAATTAAAGACATGAGGTTTCCACAAACTTCCTCATATTGTCATAAACTTTGTTTGTGTTGATTTGTTCATATGATTATGCAAAGATGTTTAAATCTTTTATATGATGGAATTTCTCATACCAACTAGTTGGCAAGTTTATTTTCCTTAGAAGTTGCAATTGGAAAAGTAGCCTCCGTTTAAGTGAGAATTATACATTTTTAATAGGTTTGAGTTATAAGAAAGAGGTATGTGAAGTGAAGATCTTACGTAGTGTTTATATTTTAATATTTTATCTTGAATATCACATTTGAAGTACAAAAAAGGGAGTCATTTTGGATGTCTTCATTAACACCTCTCTCTGTCTCTCTCTCTCTCTCTCTCTCTCTCTCTCTCTCTCTCTCTCTTTTTCCCCCCCTAATGGGGTGTCTATGATCTAAAGCAAAGTCATAATAATCTAAATCCTAAAAATAATCCCTAGTGTTGTACTATCATCTCCAATACAACATCTTCCAGAGTTTCTCCAGAATTTTAAGTTAGTGGCTCAAATCGCACATTACAGATCAAAGACATGACAAAGTTGTTTAATTTGTTCATTATTTCATCAGGTCTTCATCATCTCACTAAAATTTTATTTTGAGAGACGTTCAATATTTGTAGTCAGATTTGGTCATTCAAATTTCCATAGTTGCTTAGTATGTCCTTCGAATAAAAATGGAATTCAATGACTTGTGGAAAAGATTTTAATTTATAGCCAAATATAAACCTTATTGATTCACGACCCATATAGAAAGTCTATCCAATGTAAGGCAAGCTCAAAATGCATGGTACCGTCACGAGGTAAGAACTAAGTGCTCATATTTCATTGTTATAGTATAAATTGTCACAGTTGAGACATCCTCTCTACCTTAATAGTAAAGCACACTAGTTGCAATCAAACTAAAGTGAAGACTATTAGAAAGGGCTTTGGAAGTTATTGGTCAACATTAATAGGCCTCAGCAATTATAGAGAAAAATGCATTTTAGTTTTTCCCATTAAAATGGAATTTTTCCAAAATTATAGCCAACAGTTTATATAAATAATGTCAAAGGTTACGTCAACCTAACTTTGAGTGAATTAAGAATCTCTGTTTTTATCCACTAGGGTTATTTGATTAGCTAGAGTTCATATACCACACTAATAGATTTTAGGTTCAACTCCCACCCCCATCCAACTTACCTCCCCCCCCCCCCCCCCTCCCAAATAAAAGAATAAATAAATTTGAATTTTGTTTTCTTAGGCATGTGAAAAATCTAATAAGAGTTGTTTGTGACACATTTTACCTAGTGTGGGTATTATATGCTCATAAGAAAAACCAGATGCTCATGTTTCATTGTGACTGTAAATATAATGGTCCATGAAAGCAAACAAAGTTTGAAGAAGGATGGAACGGAGCTGGAGTTGAGTAGAGATTAGAGGCTGAAAGGTACTGAAGTTGTTAAATAGTTAGTTATGAATATAATAAAAGGAATTGAGTTTGGACAAATGTAAGTGGTGGTTATGTGTAACGGTGACATCAGAGAAGTTTTGTTATGGTGTATACAATGTAAAGTTAGTTGGTTGAAAGTTGTCTATATTTTATTATTTTGCAAACAACGAAAGTAGAGTTCTCACTTTTGTTTTATTTCTTTGGCTTTTGTAAAGGGAAATTGAAGTCTTGTGATAGGGGGTAAATGATCAAGAATGCGTACACTACTACTAAAAGTTGATTTCAAAGTAATCATGGTCATGGGCATGGCCAACGCATCCTTTGTAATTTGCAACAAGACTTTATACTTTGTTGCATTAATCTTGCAATATTCCAATATCTCAATTTTTTTATTTTTTGCAAAATATTCAACCTCGCCCAAATATTTTTCCAATTCTAACTTACTTCCACTAGTGAATTGCACTTTCAAATAGGAACAAAATTGAGACTCAAAGGGATAACGTGGATCATCATCGTTTATCACCATCTCCATTACATCACTCACACTAGGGACTTTCTCATTTGGTGAATAAAGTGTGGCATAATGGTTTGACAACCGAGTCAAACAAGTCTTAACCTTTTTCCACCATCTCATCCGCCTTCTTCTTATTTTTGTGAAACAAATTTGAGAAGCTAAACAATCTTTTTTGTAGGATCAAAAATAACGACAACATATAATACATATTGATCTTATTCCCATCCCCCTAATACTTGTTAAGCTTTTGTTCGCCATTCTGTACAAAATATCATCATTTTCCAAAATTAATTGATTAATTTTGCTTTCAATAACAAACATTTCTCTATAAAAGGCATTAGAAGTAACAAATAGGGACCCCAAAAATGTATAAATTGGAAGATAGAAAAGTTTTAAAAATCTTACAAACAACTTACATTTCTTCCAGTCCTCCTCATTTGGAATTCTCCTTATCCCACCATAAATATCCTTGAAATAAGTTTCAAAATTGGAGTCCTCATTCCTCAAATGATTGAAAGCCTTCTCAAATTTTTTGGTTCTCTCAAACATTAAATATGTGGAGTCCCACCTTGTTGATACATCAAGGCGTTCAAGAGAATTTGAATCAAGATTTAGTTTGGCCGCACATTTCTTAAAAGTATCATGCCGATTAGAAGAGGACCTTACATACCTCACTGCAAGTCTAATATTTGTAATAGAATCATCCATTTCTTTCAACCCTTACAACAATATTTGTATTATGTACCCAACAATGCATATGCAAAAATTCAAGTTCCAAGATGGTCCACTTCCAATATTTGGAATTCCTTTTCAAGAATTGACTGGTAAGATTATTGGAACTAATATTATCAACCATCAAGGTAAAGACACTATCCGTGTTTCACTCAATCAAGCACATCTCAATTTTTTTACCCAAAGTTTTTCCCTTGTTATCTTCAACTTGTTGAAAATTTATGATTCATTTCTGTAGTTTCCAATTGTTATCAATGAAGTGAGCCATTAGACACATGCAAAACAAATTTTGGATAGAAGTTCACATGTCCGTAGTGAAACAACTTGGACAACCCTTCATGACCTTCTTCAACATATTCCTCTCATTTTTTAATATGTTAATCACCTCATCTTATTGTGGTATGACAAGATGGGATTCGTTTGAATCTAGGTTGCATTACATTACAAAATTTCTTAAACCCATCTCTTTCCACAAATCTAAAGGGCAACTCCAAATAATAACTACCTCGGCAAGAGGCATTTTACAAGCATCAAAATTGAAGTCGTTTCCACGAAATCAACACTTTCTAATTGCAATTTAATTGTAATTTGGTCTACTCGAGCATATTTATTTTTTTATTTTTTTGGAGAAGTAAGCTTGTAGATTATTGTTGATGAATCATTTTAGGCATGGGATCTATGGAAAGAAGGAAGGGGCCTAGAGATAATAGATCATTTATTTGCTGAAACATGTTCAACAAATGGTTATGTGCTACATTCAAGTTAGTTTCTTGTGCATTCAAGAAAATGCAGTAGATAAACCAACTATTTTAGATGTTGTGTCTATGCTTAGCAATGAAATAATATTTTTACCTCCTCCTAAGCAACTTGCTTTTTCTACAATTGTAAATGTGAAATATGCCATTACACTTGATATTTCAAAACCTTGCTCAGTAAATGATGTCACAATTTCAGAAGTAGATGGTTGATGACATTTGTTCTTGTATGATGACACAAAATTGCCTATATTGTAAACCTTGACAAACAATGCTTTCATTATGTTTTAATGATCAATCACTAATTGATGTTATTATATGGTTTTTCTATTTATGTTGTATATACAAATTGGTTTGTATTCATCAACATGGAAGGAAGAAGTCATTCATATGATTTTTATCGATCTTGAGAAAGTATATGATAGAGTACCTCGAGATATAATCTGGTGGGTGTTAGAGAAGTGATAAAAGGCTACATTGATGGGATTAGGGACGTGTATGAAGGTGTGGTGACCATTATTAGATAGTTGGTTGAAGAGAAAATTGAATTTTCAATTATTGTGGGGTTATACCAACGATCAACCTTAAGTCCTTATCTTTTTGCTTTAGTTATGGATGAGTTGACGAGAAATATTTAGGATGATGTGCCATGGTGTGTATACATTTTGTAGATGATATCATGTTAGTGGATGAGACTAGAGAAGGAGTTATCACTAAGTTAGAGACTTGGAGAGAAGCACTTGAATCTAAAGGATTTAGGTTAAGCAGAACTAAGACAGAGTACAT